TGAAGCCTGCCAGCGACGCTACATATTCCCGGAGTATGACATCGCAAGCAGCACGCCGGCCACCGCCTTCGTGTACCGACAAAAGGCAACGAGCAACGCCCCCGAGATTTCGCCTCGGGAACTCGACTTGAACAGCAACGGGGACAACCTGCTACGCAAAGGAACGTTGAGCGGATGAGTACTGTGTTTCTTTTGGGGTTCCGAAATGTCACGCTTGGGAAGAATATCGGAGTTTGACCCTAAGACACAGAACATTGAATCGTATTTGGAACGATTTGAACATTTTTTAGTGGCAAACGACATAAAGGACGAGAAAGTGCTTCCCGTATTTCTGACAGTGATAGGCCCTGAGGCTTATGAAGTGCTAAAGAGTCTGGTCGTGCCGGCGTCCCCTGGCGAGAAGTCGTATGCAGTTGTTAAACGGTTGTTAATAGAACATTACAGCCCTAAGAGTTCCGTTATAGCGGAGCGCTGTAAGTTCAACAGACGTGTTCAGGACGAACATGAAAGCATAGAAGACTTCATAGTTGAACTGAAACACTTGGCTAGGAAATGCGACTTCGGCAACTTCTTGCAAGACGCCCTTCGGGACAGGCTAGTAGCAGGCATACGTAATGAAGAGAGCCAGCGTGCCTTGTTTGCCAAGGAAAACTTAACGTTTGAAGGCGCTTGCAAGATTGCGCTCGATCGAGAACTGGCGGCTCGAGACACTGCACTCATGCAATCGAGAGACAAAGAGGCATCCTTAAACGCTATAAAGAGTCGACAAAAGGGACGATCAAAGGGCTCGAAACCTAAAGATATTCAAGGGCCTAAAAAGGAAAGGTGTGAAAGATGTGGTAGGGGTCATGCATCAAATGTTTGTTGGTACAAGAGCTTTGTCTGCCGCAAGTGCTCGAGAGTAGGACATTTGCAAAAAATGTGTCCAAACACAAGGGTGCCGAAGAACACGAATGCTCTGGAATGTTCTGACGAAGACACTGAGCATGACGTGTACCATTTTATAAATACGACTCAATCGTGTTACGAAGTGAGTGTTCAAGTTGAAGGGAAACCCGTAATCATGCAAATTGACACAGGAGCGGCAGTCACAATTGTTCCTGAGAGCGTGTACGACACTGTTTTTCCACATGTAAAATGTGGTCCGGCTAAAATGTCACTTCGCACGTCCACTGGAGAACATCTGCAGCTCAAAGGACCAGTGTGATGTCGCTGTTGTGTACAAGGGTCAAAGTATGACGTTGCCCGTAGTAATTGTCAAAGACAATGGAAGGAGGCTTCCAGTGCTGCTTGGACGGAACTGGCTCCAGCGTTTAAGGCTGGACTGGCATGAGATTGGCCAAGTCACAACTTAAGATAGGGCTCAAGCACTACAAAGGAAATACCCTTCCGTGTTCTCAAAAACACTGGGCACCATACAGAAGTTCGAAGCGACGATCTTGCTGAAGTCTGGTTCGGTCCCTGTGTTTAGCCGTGCTAGACCTGTTCCCTTTGCTTTGCGAGAGCAGGTAGAAACCCAGCTGCGCAGCATGGTAGAAACGGGCATGCTTCGACAAGTAGCGCGCAGTGACTGGGCAACACCACTTGTCGTTGTCCCAAAAGAGGACGGTAGTCTCAGACTCTGTGGAGACTAGAAGGTAACGATAAACCCTGTTTTGAAAACCGATCACTATCCGCTGCCCAGGCCGGAGGACCTGTATTCTGTCCTCGCAGGAGGCAAGGTTTTTTGCGTACTTGACCTCTCTGCGGCGTATCAGCAGGTGCCACTCACTCCAGAGTCCAGACCATTTTTGACAGTTAACACTAGCTTGGGTCTTTTTGAATTCCAACGCCTTCCCTACGGTGTGGCTAGTGCACCCGCAATATTTCAGTCTATGATGGATGAGGTGCTAAAAGGCATTCCGCACGTCGGATGCTCCATTGACGATGTAATCGTGGCAGGATCTGACACGGCAGACTGCCAAAAGACTCTCGAACGTGTCTTGGGAAGGTTGAACATCACGCTCAACGCGGACAAGTGCCGTTTCTTCCAAGAGTCCGTGACGTATCTGGGTCACACGGTGACCACAGATGGGATTTACCCTACAGAGACCAAGAAAAGAGCGATCTTGGCAGCACCTGAGCCCACCACCGTCACAGAATTGAAGGCATATCTGGGCATGTTGAACTTCTATTCGAAGTTTTTAAAGAATGGTTCAACAGTCGCAGAGCCGCTTTATCGGCTTTTGAAGAAGGATCAGAAATGGTCATGGACGAAGGAATGCAGCAAGGCGTTTGCTAATACGAAAAAATTGCTGACTAGCAGCCAGGTGCTGACATTCTATGACGTCGATAAGCCGATCGGAATGCTCTGTGACGCGTCCTCGTATGGCGTAGGAGCAGTTATCTTTCACGAGACTGCTGACGGCGAAGAGAGGCCTATCGCGTTTGCCTCGAGAACGTTAACGCCAGCCGAGAAAAAATATGCTCGGTGCGAGCGCGAAGCTTTGGCGTTAATCTTTGGTCTCAAAAAGTTTCATCGCTATCTTTTTGGCAGAGAGTTCACAATCTACACTGATCATCAGCCGCTACTAGGCATTTTGGGCCAGGAAAGGCCTGTACCGACACTGGCCGCCGCACGAATGCAGCGTTGGGCCATGGTGCTGGCAGCTTATAAATATCGGCTGAAGTATCGCCGAGGGAAAAACATGGAAGTGGCTGATGCTCTGTCGAGATTGCCTCAGGCGGTGCCCGCTGAGGAAGAACCTGTTGAGTGCCTCTCAGTGTTTCAGTGCCTCCCATTGAACGTAGAGGAGATTGCAAAATTTTCAAAACGAAGCCTTACATTGTCCCGTGTTGCTGGGTTTACTCTAAATGGTTGGCCAAGACCGCACGCGCAAGAACTTGGGCCTTATTACGTGCGCCGCGACTAGCTTTCACTTGAACAAGGTTGTGTAACATGGGGTGTCCGTGTAGTGATCCCGGAACAGCTAAGGGACCGCGTGCTGAACTTGCTGCATGAGGAGCATCCAGGCGCCAGCCGCATGAAGATGCTGGCACGAAGTTTTGTATGGTGGCCTGGAATCGATGCGGCTATCGAGCATCACGTACAGAAATGCCAAATCTGCCAAGCAGTTCAGCCCGCCGCCCGTCCGGTACCACTGCATCCCTGGAGCTACCCTGCCCGGTGTTGGTCGCGTGTGCACGTGGATTTTGCTTCAAAGGGTGCCCATGTGTTTCTGGTGCTTATCGATTCATTTTCGAAATGGATCGAGGTTTGGGTGATGTCTTCTACATCCACCACTAAAACACTGGAAAAACTTAAGAGGAGCCTTTTCTGCTTACGGTTTGCCCGAGGTACTAGTGAGCGACAACGGTCCGCAGTTCACGTCAGCTGAGTTTGCCGACTTCATGAACGCCAACGGTGTGAAACACATTCGCACTCCACCTTACCACGCAGCCTCTAACGGTGCCGCAGAACGCACGGTTCAAACCGTGAAACGAGCATTGCTCAAGCAGGTGCTCGAAGGCGAAGCAACCGGTCGGCAGTGTTCTCTTCAGGAAAATATTGACAGTTTTCTGATCGGTTATCGCAACACACCAAACAGCGTGACTGGGAAAACGCCCGCCGAACTATTCCTAAGGCGCCAGCCACGCACAAAACTTTCCCTGCTTAAGCCCGACTTTGCCGGCGCCATGCAACGCAAGCAAGAACATGTGAAGGAACAACGCGATGTGTCGCGAGGGGCTGAACGTGTGTTCAACGTGGGCGACCGTGTTTTTGTGAAAACAGTGCGCGGTGAGTGTGTCTCCTGGGAAGAAGGAATCGTGTGTCAGGTTGTCAGTGCTGCGACCTACGTTGTGAAAGTGCTCAACCAGCTTCGCTTCACGCACGCTGACCACCTGCGTCCTCGACATGCGGAACCCATCGTGAGACCGGGCAGTACGACTGTGGATGACGATCCATCGATACCGCCACCCACGAGCTTTCCAGCCCAGGTGCCGTCAGCACCACCCAGTGCGAAGGCACCGACGCTAGCGGCGCCACCTCCAGACGCGGCTGGTACGACGCCGACGCCTGACGCACCAGCGCCACCCGCAGATCCCGCCCGGGAAGGACCGGCGACACCTACTGCAGCAACGCCGGTTCCGTCTACGACAGCGGAGAAGCAACCCCTTCGACGAACTTCTCGCGCATGCAAGCCGCCTGACCGTTTTAAAGCCGAGGACTTTAGGAAATGAACATTTTTTTGCGTGAGGGGGAAGGAAATGTTGTAGCGTGCGGATTGAGTTATCGCGACTGAGTCATCGCGGAAGCGCCGCCCGGCTCGTGACGTCATGTCTGTGATAAAAACGCTGCGCTCAGGAATAAAGCACTTCTTGTTCGCCAGCACGCCATGGTCTACAGTCACTTCAATATCTTAATAGCCCTCGTTACAGCACACCAAGGATATTAGGCAGTGAAATTCACATCACGCAGGCTCGTGCGTCGTAGTCAAATGAGCGCAGTCGACGACGAGGTGTAATGAGCTACTATTCTTCACAAGGAAAATGCGCGTGAGAAAGTTTTGAGGCAGTCCAAAACACCGATCCAGCAGACGCACGTACGTACGTTCACTCCGGACTCCATGAACCCGACGGCGCAAGATCAAAGCGATCAAAGAGCACCGCCGGCATTGCCACCCGGTTTTCTCTGCACTTTGCGCGACAACGGCACTGCAACGGAGGGCACTCGCCTCGGCGTTAACAATCCGCGAAATAGATTAATTTTTCACTCTTGGAGCCATTCCAAATGATAAATGAAAATACCTCGGCGTTGTAGAACATCTGACGACACAAATGTGCCGAGCGCCTGCTCGGCATCGTTTTTGCTCGTGAAGGCCTTCTTATTTGTGGTTGAGACGATGATTCCACATCTTTCGTGCAACTCGTGGTGCTTGCAATAACTTCGAAGGGCAGGGGAATCTTGTCACGAGGACGTTGAAGACACTCAACACCGGAGCCACCAAAGCAATCGCACAAACCGTCGCCATGTTTGCTTCTTCTTCGTCACTCGCGGCGCGGTCAACTCGTCACGAGATGTTTTCTGGCTCGGCTAGATAAAAAAAAAAAAAAAAAAACAGCAGCAAAGTGGCGTATGGACACACGGCTCTCACATTACGGGCACTATACTCACATACCTTCGTCACAACAGCGCTGCAAGCGGTGCCCATAAGAGCCAAGCCAGACAGGACGCACGCCAGTGGGTTCGGCACTCGCCGACAAGATACCATGGCTAAACCATGCATTCCTTTCTATCAGGTCATCCCCATGTTGCTGTTGTGCACGGAACCCGGCTCTTCTGATAGCCGTAAGGATCGCACCATCAAGGCAGACTACGGAGCCTTCGAAGGGAGCAGCATTTGCGGCCTGTCATCGCATCTGGAACAGCGACACGTGCCGGAACTGGAAGAAACGCCTTTCTGCAAACCTTCGTCAACAACAGCGCTGCAAGCGGTGCCCATAAGAGCCAAGCCAGACAGGACGCACGCCAGTGGGTTCGGCACTCGCCGACAAGATACCATGGCTAAACCATGCATTCTTTTCTATCAGGTTAGTTGGAAAAGGGTACCTAAGTCGTTTAGAACTGGTAATCGCTTTTTAGTTGTTGTGCCGAGCCCACAGTGTTGTTTTCTTCTGATGAAGTGTTGTGCATGTGTCTTAAGTCTTCTTGTTTGTGGTGACGTTGAGTCAAACCCAGGGCCAACTGATCACGAGCTATTGATAAAAATTAGTGCTAATGTAGACACACTCCTGAAGCGTACTAATGGTTTAGAGGAAAAATTAGAGAACTTGTCCGCTAGGGTTACGTCAAACGAAGACCTCATAAAGGCCCAGGCAGAAGAATTTCAAAAACATGTTCACACTCTGGAACAAAAAATTGATGATCTCGAAAACAGAGAGCGTAGAAATAACTTAGTGATATATGGACTAAATGAGCCTTCAGATGAAAATCCGTCTTCACTAAACGAAAAGGTACTCACAGAAATATTCGAACAAAAATTAGAAGTAACGATAAACACTATCGAGCGCATTCATCGCCTAGGAAAGCCTCGCAGAGGCTTCCAACGTCCCGTCATACTCAAACTTATGGATTACCGAGAAAAGCAGGTAATACTTCAAAATGCAAGAAAGCTGAAAGGCACGAATATATCTATCGGTGAAGACTTTTCATTTCGGGTACGCTCCATCAGAAAGCTGCTTTGGGGCAGCTCGCAATCTAACAGGGAAAAAGGTGATAAGGTGTATCTGTCCTACGATAAGCTGAAAATAAACGGCGAAGTTTACATCTGGGATCACCAAAAAAATGATAAAGTAAAACTTGGGCAGAGTAGCCATCCTCTGTCCGATACCGCCGCATGACAAAGTGACGAGACAGAAAAAAAGGAGCTAAGGCTGATATCACTAAATGCGAGAAGCATCGTGAATAAGGCTGACCAACTAGAGGCGCTAATATTTACTTACGACCCACATGTAATTATGATATCAGAAACGTGACTGCATGAAGGTATTCAAAACAGTGAAGTGGTACCGCCTAACTACAGGTTAATTCGCAAAGATAGATGTTCCCGAGGTGGCGGGGTTGCTATAGCTATAAGGGAAAACCTTGTTTACCAGTTAATGGAACGCGTTGGTAACACAGAAAGTGTTTGGTGCAAGTTAAACTTTTTCGGGGCTTGGATAACACTCGGGACTGTCTACAAAAAACCCGGGTCGTCCTCAGAAGAATTAACAGAAATAATTGATTACTTAATCGCCAACACTAATGCTCGAACTAAATTAGTAATAGGAGGAGATTTCAACGCTCCCAATGTAAGTTGGTCTCAAGATGGTGTGGCTAGCCTGGGTACAAATGTGTCTGAGTCGCTGCTTGAGCTCGCTTTCAGTCGTGGTCTGCGTCAGGTTGTTACAGAACCCACGCGTGTTACTGGCACGTCATGTTCTTTACTTGATCTATTGTTTGTTAGCAACGACTTCGATGACTGCAATGTTTTTGTCCATGACGGCATATCTGATCACAAAATGGTATTTTTCAAGTGTAACATGTCTGTGTGTCACGCTAACCCGGCTCAAGTGAAAATGTACTACGATTTTGAAAGGGCGAATGACGAGTCGATAGTTGACCATCTCGAGCAGTATTTCGACGGCTTCGATCAGATGACCGATGTAAATGAAATGTGGTTAAGATTTAGATCTGCAGTAAACCATTGCATTATTAATTTTATTCCTCAAAAACAGAAAAAGATTAAACGCCAAAACCCATGGATCACGAGGGAAATTTTACACGCAAAACGAAAATTGAAAAGGCTCCGCAAGCACCATTCGCATGATGTTTGTGAGCAGGCTGGTAATCTAAAAAGGAAGATAAAGTCAGCCAAAGAAACGTACTTCTCAAAGTCATTACCTGAATTTCTTTTATCTGCCCCCGAAAAGTTCTGGCGTTATCTATCACCGGTGAGAAGCAGCATCACCCAGTTGTGCATTAACGGCGACTCAGTGAGCGACAAGGCAAAAATCGCGATTGAATTTAATCGGTATTTTCAATCTGTGTTTACAAGAGAGTCAGGTAAACACAATACAATCACATGTAGAGATAACGTAAGCAGTCTTATATCTGAGCAGGGTATACTGTCGTTGTTACGATCACTTGACGCTAAAAAATCACCCGGACCGGACGCTTTACCTAACGCATTTCTCAAAAGGTACGCTGAGTGGGTCGCCAAATACCTATCATGCATATTCACTAGATCAATCCAAGATGCCGTGTTACCGGATGACTGGCTAGTAGCTAGAGTTGTTCCCGTCAAAAAAAGTGGAAAAGGGGACTCGGTTGAAAACTATCGTCCCATTTCTCTGACATGTGCATCCTGTAAATTGTTGGAACATATCGTAAATAAACACCTTGTTTCTTTCCTCGAATCAAAAGGTACAATTAACCCCAGCCAACATGGTTTTCGTGTGCGACTGTCAACAGTGACTCAGTTAATTGAATTTTATCACGAATTATCAACCTATGTAAATGACAGAACCCAGGTGGATGCGGTGTTTATTGATTTATCAAAGGCCTTTGACCGAGTACCTCACCGTAAACTAGTTAAAGTATTAATAGACCTTGAAGTTCCCTCATATATTATCAGCTGGATAAATGCGTATCTCACAAATCGCCAGCAATTCGTGGATGTAAATGGTGCCTTCTCGGGATTGTTAGATGTTCATTCTGGAGTACCCCAAGGGTCGGTTTTGGGCCCTTTACTTTTTTTGATATATGTTAACAGCTTGTTTTCAATTTCAACTAGCGGCCCCATAAAAATAAGAATGTTTGCAGATGACTGCGTAATTTACACACCCGTATATTCAGTCGAAGACCAGATAAATTTGAGCAGCACATTATCAGGCATTGCGTCGTGGTGCCAAGATTATAACATGATGATTAATGTTCACAAAACGCAGTACATGCATGTTTCAACTAAAAAAACTGTATTGACATTCAACTATGTTGTTTGTGGCTTCAAGCTGACGAACGTTGAGAGTTATAAATATTTAGGAGTGATTATCGCAAGTGATTTAAAATGGAGCAAACATGTGGAATACATTCGAAAAAGGGCAACTAACAAGCTATGGTTTCTAAAAAGAACGCTAGGCGGAGCTCCTCCCTCGGTTAGACTTTTAGCATATAAAACCACTATTAGGCCTATCCTTGAATATGCGTCTGCGGTCTGGGATCCTTGGCAATGCTGTCTTGTTAAGGAACTCGAAGATGTACAATCACTGGCGGCACGTGTAATCTTTTCGGATTTTAGACGGACCACGTCGGTCACGGGACTTAAAACAAAAGCAAATTTACAGCTTTTAATAAACAGAAGGGCATGTCAGCGGGTGAAGTTGTTTTTTCAGATATATAATAACCTCCTAAAAATAGATGGCTCAAAATACCTAAAGCCAAGAACATTTCACTCTCAGCGCTTACACCATTCGAAGATGGTAGCACCTATTAATGCTAGAATAAATGCATTCAAACAGTCTTTTTTTGTGCGTACAATTGAATTATGGAATAAACTTCCAAGTGAAATAGTAAATCTTGATTCTTTTTCCATTTTTTCAAATGCCTTAGATGCGGTTTTTGAGTGTTAAAATGTTCTACTTGCTGTGTTTTTGAATTGTATAAGGAGACGATGTTTTGTATTAAGTGATATTGCTTTGTTAGAAGTTAAGCTATTGTTATGGTTGTGTGCGCTAGAAGAAGAGTGTGTGTACACAAGAATTGTTGTTTTAATTTGTATCAGAGACAAATGTGCCAATATTTCTGTATCATCCACTCCTGCTTTGGCCCTAAAAGGGCTGGCAGTATTGATAAATAAAAAAAATAAAAAATAAAATACCGCGGTAAACAGGACCGATGCCGGCGAAACGGCAGTCGGCACACCAGCGAAGAAGCCCTCAACGGGAAGCGGCGGCGCAGGCCGACGCAGCCCCCCATCCCCGTGAGCGTCTGGGTTCGAGATTATTGTTCACTTTTGCTCCTTGCGGTGGAGGCTAAAAAGGGCACTTCCGGACACTGGTCTATTTCAACCTCACCTTAAAGCCTACCCATGCGCCTTTTATTGGCGACGTGCGCGATCAAAAGCGTCGCTGTGGTCGGCCTTTCACGATTGGCCGAATGCTGACTATGACGTCAGCAAAGGTTTTCTCATCGACAGAAAGAAGAATAATGTAAGAACTTCAATTTCGACGGTGTTGGCAGTGCTGGTTTTAGAGCGCGGTGATCTCAAGCTTCCACCACGCTAATTATAAACACCGTCGAACTGGTTGTTCGTAAGGTAATGACGTCACGAGAGGAAACCTTAGGAGGGCGCCACCAAAACATCTCGCCGCTAATACTGAGCATATGAGAGGAGTCGTTTTGTCAGTGAGCACCTCAACCGTGAACGATGTTACAAATGTGGTGCTGCTTTCGCACCAATATTCTTCTCCTATATTGTTGTTAAACTTTCCAAGGAGCGTATGTCTTACTAAGAAGTAACGGTATACACAGTAATTATTTGTGACAGTCTATAAAACAGCGTTCCTATAGGCTCTCAGCAGCCATGTTCTCGCTTCCTCGTAGACTGCCCTACTTTGGGCATGCGCGTCTCCGTGGCAACCGCACCGTCTCTTGCGAAAAAAAAAAAACCCAAAACAACAACACATAGATTGTAAAGAATACAAAAAGAAAAGAAACTAGAATGAATCTTTTTTGTCTTTGGAAAAGGTTTTACCACGTGTTACGTGGTAAAAACATTTTTCTACGTTCCAGTTAAACCAAAAAAATATATATATAAACGCTTTCAAAGTGCGTTTAAAAGTACGCATAGGGAAGGACACCAGGACAATTGTCAAAAGCCGCATGGCCAGTGCATCAACAATGGCGGTGCTTGAGTCAGCGTCGGCTTCCACGACCTGCTGGTACATAGGTTGCGATCGTTACAAAGTCAGCTTCAACCCTTAAACATGCCCCCTCCTGCAATTTTCGATGCTACGATTGTCTGTGGATACCTCCCCCTGCGTTCCGAAACAGTAAGTGCTTCGCAAACGATGGCCATCGACGATGCAGCAGACGCCGCCATCTTGTCCGCGCGTCTTTTGCTCTCGCGCTCTTGCTCCCGCGCGCCTTTCGCTGCTCTTGCTCCTGCGCTTTTACTCCCGCGGCGGCTGCTTTTGCTCCCGCCCGCCTTTCGGTTAGTCTCGGTTGAGTACAGTTAGTCCCCAGCATTTGCGCACGGTACCTAGCTCGAACCAGATGGTCCTTTCGGGGAGCAAATGGGAGAGGGCCAAATGCTGCCGTTAGTCCTTTGAGGCCATCGTTTTTCTTAGAGTGTGGCGCCCAAACAAAGCGGTTTTCTTCCAAGGTGGCCAGACTAGCTTTGGAAGCGCGGCTGCGCGCTGCCATTTTTGTCTGCTGGGCTGTGGAACGCCTTCTGAGCATGAGCTGTTTATCTGCTGTGCGGTATATCGGACGCTGCGCATACGTCCACAGCTCAGTGTTTCAGCATTTCTCGCGCGGGTGATAGATAAGCGATGCAAAGGTCTCTAGCTTCGCGGAGCGAGTGGGAGCGCCGCCAAAAGGGCGTCCGCGAGGACGCTGCTCCTGAACGAAAAGACGAAGGCGAATGCGTGCGCACTCGACCGGTAGTACGCGCTCTGTACACCGGCACCAGTAAGACGTGCGGGCAAATTGAAGGCGGCCCATAAACGAGTGTTTGCCCTAGCATTACGAAAATATGTATGGACACTCCGAGGACGTTCTATAGAGCAGCGTCCTTAGGAAGAAAATGGGGCATCGATAGGCAGGCCACGGCTACTGTTGCCTTCCGAAGTCGTCCTATGGCCGCCCTAAAGAATATAGGCCAATGGACGTTCTATGGACGTCCTATTTTACGGACGATGTAAGACCATCCTATACCCTATCTGTAGTACACAAGGTTCATATGGTGTCTATAGGGCGCATGCAGAGAACCCCTACAAGTTATACAGGGAGTCCCTACGGGGTCCGCAGGGCAGCCATATAGGGTCTACGCAGCTTCCTTATGGGGTCTGCAGAGAAGCCGCACAGGGTCTACACGGAGTCCCTATGGGGTACGTAGAGAAGCCACTCCGTCTGCAGGGGTTTATCTACGGCGTCCGCAGAGACCCGCAAACACCTACCTCCCACTGAGAAAGTTGGGGAATTATTTCGGTACCTACTGAACACTTCCACCTCCACATTCATTATGTCCTGAGGTTGTACATGTCTCCAGTCATCAATGTAATTTATTGATACCTCGCGCTTAGCTTAATTAACAACTCTCTAACTCAGACACCTCCCTACACCTAACGAAAGCATCTACCCGGCATCACTTTAGTAATCTACCAATCTATAGCTCACACCATAGAGAGGCACTAGGATGTCCATAGACTCACCAGGGCCATAGCATTGCAATAGGAAGGAATGAAAAACGTTTCTGTATCGGGAGATCCCTATATCGTTGTTGTGGCCGTTCTATGGAAAACCAGTGGTCCATAAATGGTTTATGAACTGTCTACAGGAATCCATAGGATGGACATATGGGTAATAGAATGACACTAGTAAGGACACAGAACGTCCATACCTATATTTGTAAGGGTACGGCCAAATGACGCGATATGCGACACCGATAGACGTGCTCTGCACTGGACGTACACCGTCCTACACCCCAACGGAAAAAGAAAAGGTATGCCAGTTGAGTTTTCTACAGCACACGAGACAGCAAATCACGGCGATGAGTAGAACGATACTGGCAAACGAAGAAGATATGATTCGAACAAGAAAGTGCGATGTGCGCAGGGACGTTGGTACACGACGTTTCACTTGCTCAATGCCACTG